GGTGTAGGTGGGGGTTTTTTTTCAATGATAAGAGAAGATCATGTTATCAATGACTGGTTTGAAATGTGTGGCTCAATTTCAAGGTCAAAGAATTTAAAACAATTAACAATTTCACAATACAAATATAACAAAATACCTTTAAATATTTTATTATATGATTTCAATCAAGATATTAGTGACACAAATAGCAATGGAAGTAGCAGTAGTACAATTGGAAATGGTACCGACTATTATTTTAACCCCAACAACTATATCAGTAATGATTACCCCAAAGAAAGTGAAGGTCAAGAAAATGAAGAGCAGGATGAAGAAGAACTTTTACCACTATCATATAATCAAATTATCAATGAATTTAGGTTACCAGATTGTTATATAAAACCATTTAAATCAATCATATTGTTAAACAACTCAATTACCAAATTAAAAATTTGTGAAATGGAAGGTTTAATAAACAACGAGTTTTTATCATCACTCCTTTATAATAAAAATATTATTGAACTATCACTATTCAATTCACTCACTGTAAATACTTCAAAATATCTTTTGGAATCAATAATTGGTAATGAATCAAATAAAAACAACTCTATAAAACATTTAGATATTAGGGGTCAATATAATTACTCAACATTATCCAAATCTTTTATTTTATTTGATTATATTTTAAATTTTATAAATTCCAACGATTCAATCTATAAATTAAAATTAAATTATAGTAATAATAATAATAATAATAACAATAACAATAACAATAATAATAATAATAATAATATTACAACTAAACCATTCTCAAATAGTAAAATTATAGAAATAAAATTAAATTAATATTAATCTATTACTTTTTTTAGATTGACTTTTTTTTTAAGCTTTTTGCACACCCCTCCAAAATTTTTTTTTTTTTAAATTATTTTTTTTTTATTTAAATTAATTATTTTTTTTTTTTTTTTTTTTTTTAAATTTTCATTGTATTATTTTATAACACTCTGCATTAAATATAATAAATAAAATATTTATAGAAATAAAATAAAAATAATAATAAAAAATGTCACATATTTTAGATTTATTTAAACCAATGATACCATCATTAATTAACAGTTTGCATAAAGGTCAAGCTGGTAGAGTTGCCGTAATGGGCGGAAGTAAAGAGTATACAGGTGCTCCATACTTTTCAGGTATTTCATCTCTTAGAATTGGTTCAGATATTTGTCACATTTTTACACCAACTGAAGGTGGTACAGCTACCGCTTTAAAAACCTTATCACCAGAATTAATTGTTCATCCAATTGAAAAAAATGTTTGTATACAATATAGAATTTATTAATATTATATATCTACCAAACTAACAAACTCTTAAAATCGATTATTTTTAATATTAAAATAGGATCCATCAGAAATTATTCCATGGTTATTAAGTTTACATGTTATTATTATTGGTCCAGGTTTAGGAAGATCACAAGGTGCCTGGAATTGTGCATCAGAAGTTATTAAAGCTGCTAGAAATATTAATTTACCAATTGTTTTAGATGGTGTAAGTGTCTAATATTTTTCATGATCATTAGAATGAATTTTATTAATAATGATTTATTTTAAATTTTATATAGGACGCTTTAAGATTAGTTGCAGAAAATTTAGAGATTATTAAAGGTTATGATAGAGCAATCTTAACCCCAAATTTTGTAGAATTTAAAAATTTATCAGATAGTGTCAAAAAAATGATGGGTGATACATCAAATAATTTATTAAAACCAGAACAAGTTGCATCACAGTAATTATTATGAAACTATTTTTCAAAAAAAAAAAAAAGTATTTTCTTACTAATTTAATTTATTTTTACAAACCCATTAGACTTGGTAATATAACAATTGTACAAAAAGGAAAAGAAGATTTAATTACAGATGGAAACCAAGTTATTTTATGCGATAATGAAGGCATGCCAAGAAGATGCGGTGGTCAAGGTGATATTTTAGCAGGTGCTATTGGTACTATGTTTGCTTGGTCACAACTATACTATAAATATAACAATAACAATAGTGATAAAATTCAAGAAAATGAACAACAATACCCAATTTCAATGATTTCATCTTTTGCTGCTTGTTCATTACTCAGACACTCTTCAAAGAAAGCATTCGAAAAAAATAGACGTTCAACTATTACTCAAGATATTATAAACGAAATTCCAAAATGTTTTGAAGAATTATTCCCTGAATCATTATAAATTAAAACAAATAGCAAATAAAAAAAAAAAAAAAAAAAAAAAAAAAAAAAGAAATAAATCATCTTTTTATTATTTACAAATTTACACTATTTATTAGCTTTTTTTAATACATTCTTTGATAACCACTCTAAACCTTCGTAAGCACCTTCTCCATTTATAGCACATAACTTTTTAACATACCATTTTCTTTCTTTGCAATTTTGTAATTTCTAATGCCTCTATTATTTCTTCTAAAGATAAACAACCTTTAATGTCATGTTTATTTGTCAATATTAAAAATGGAATAAAATAATAAAAAAATAATAAAAAAAATAAAAAAAATAAAAAAACTCAACCAGTTTATTTTCAAATATGCAAAGTTTTTTATTTTATTTTCTGATGATGTCAATTAATTCAGTTTCGAAAACTAAATGAGCGTTACCTGGAATTTTACCACCAGCACCTTGAGCACCGTAACCTAATGATGGCTAAAATTATAAATAAATATGAATTAATCAAAGTTTTTTATTTAAGTTTAATAATATTTTTATGAAACTTACTGGAATGGTTAATTTTCTCTTTTCACCAATACATGCGCCAAGTAAACCTTGATCCCAACCTTTAATAACTTGACCAGCACCTAAGGTGAATTCAAATGGTGTACCTCTATCGTATGAGCTATCGAATCTATCATAAAAATAAATGTGAATAAGATAATATATTACCAATTATTATAATATCAAACTAAAATTTGGGTATTTACTTTTCACCAGTTGATAATAAAGTACCTTTGTAGTGAATCTTTAATTTATCACCAGCTTGAGTTTTTTTAGTACATTCTTCTGGTCTATATTTAACTCCGATTTGTAATTTATCTGATGGTTTCTTGGCAGCGGATGCAAAAACAACAAATAACATAACAAAAACTAATAAACTTTTTAAGAATTTCATTTTTTAATAAACAAATAATAGATTTTAAAATTACAAATGAAAAAATAAAAAAAAATAAAAAAAAAATAAAAAAAAGTTTTCAAAAAAATAATTTTCAAAAACTTTTTTTTTCAGTTATTTATTTTTTTTATATTTATTTTTTTTTACTTCCAGCCAATCTAAAAAGAACATTAATTAAAAAAAAAATGAAAAAAAACTTTATATAAATAAATATTTTATAATTTATTATCGTCTTTATCTTCAAATAAATAGCTTGATACGCTAAATACAGGTGTTTTCCAAAAATCGTGAACACGTTTACCTGTAGATATATCAGAAGCACAACCTGCAGCGACAAATAATGGGAGAAGATGCTCTGTTCTTGGATGAGCCAAACGGGTGTATGGTAATGATTCGTATTTTAAAAGTTCGTTTTCTCTTTCTTTACCAGTTTTCTTGGTGATAGTATTGAATAACCAATTTTCGAAATTTGAGGCCCAAGATGGATCAACTTGGTATTTTGGATCGAAAATAGCTCTTAAATTATGTACAGAACCACCACTTGATAAAACTAGATAGCCTTCGTCACGTAATGGTCTAAGGATAGTACCCACATTATAATGTTCTTTAGCATTTAGATTTGCTTTTAATGATAATTGAACTACTGGAACATCTGCATCTGGATAAATAAGTTTAAGTGAAACCCATGCACCATGATCATATCCTCTTTTATTATCTTTTTTTAAAGGTATTTTCGATTTAGCAAATAATTCTGTAACTCTATCAATTAATTCTGGTGATGTTTTTGTTGGATATTTTAATTTATACATTTCATCTTCAAAACCATAAAAATCATAAATTACATCTGGATTCTCTGTAGTTTGGATTGTAAAATCATTTTCTTCCCAATGAGCCTAAAATTAAATATAAATAATAATTAATAACTCATATTTAATAATTAATAAACAATAATTAATTTTAACAATAATAACATACACTTATAATTAATACAGCTTTTGGTTTTGAGCCATTATGAAGATTTTTTGAAAGTCCTTTTAAAAAACCTTTAGTTTTATCAGTGTTATCCAAAATTAAATTTGGTGCACCATGCGAAATAAATAATGAATTAAATTTTTTTAATGACATTTCTTTAACTATATTATTTTTAAACTTATTATTGTTGATATTATTATTATTATTATTATTATTATTATTATTTATAGTTTTGTTTGATAAATAAAAATAATAAATTAAAAAAATTGATAATAAAATTACAAATACTTTATTTTTGTTCATAACAATATTTAAAAACTATTAAACTATTTATTATTATTATTATTGTTATTATTTATTATTTTATAATAATTTGAAATTATAATTATATGTTTGTAAAAATAAAAATTTAATTTAAATAAAAAAAAAAAAAATAAAAAAAAAATAAAAAAAAATAATTTAAAAAAAAACAAATTCTGAATGGTTCCGCGGAATCAGTGGTATAAAATCTATTATTTTATACTGATATTGGGAATAAGGTTAAATGATAAACTGGAGAATTATGGGATGTTTTTATTTATATTTTACATATTACCTTATTTTTTTTATTTTTTTTATTTTATTTTTTTATTTTTTTATTTTTTTATTTTTTTGTTTTTACTAAAAATACATTTAAATTAATGGACCGAACGATTGTGGTAAGGGTGCACTAATAGTTTTACAAACTCTGCAAATACCTTCATTTGAGTTTGGCTCGATTGGTAATAATAGGCCACCACTGCATTTTGAATTTTTACAACTAGAGTCATTAAAGATTTTTTCTGTAAGTTCTGGGTTTGTTTTTTCATGAAAACAACGTAAGCAGTCACATGGAAACATCCAATTTGATTTTAAGTTGTGGTATCTTTCATGGCCTTTTTGGTTAAGTGGAATGTATGTTATTAACAATTCTGAATTTTGAGGAACATCTCTCAAAGTAATTATTGAAATTGATAATCTATTGTCACTTTCAAATCCTTGATAATAACTATAGTCATTATGATTGATATTGTACTCTAATAAAGTTGTGCAATTTGGGAAGCAGCCATGATTAAATAGTGATAGCTTTAAATAAACTGCAGAGCCACACCACATATATTGATTTGTTGGTTCATCATCTTTTTTTGTTGTTTCGTTATTACCTTCTTCTTTCATAGTTTCGGTAATTTCAAAAATTGGTTTATTTAAATTTGATTTATACCCAGTGTGCCATAATCCAAAATAATTTGATCTAATTTTACAAAGCAATCTTAAAATATTAAGGTCGAAATCTGTTAACCTTTCAACTATTTCTTTTATATCTTTTGGTTCTTCGTTAAAATCTGTCATTTCTGAATCACCTTCACTATCTATGAAACCACTATTTATTATTTTATTTGGGTGGCCTTCTTCTATTGAGTCAATAACTAAATTTCTAATAATAAGTGAAGTATTTATTAATTTCTTTAAATCATTTTTCCATATTTTAGAATACTTTAAAAGTTCATTTTCTTTTCCTTGTTCTTTTGGCTCTTGTTCATTACTATTCTTTATATTTGCTAAATATTCATCTAGATGATCAATTAAATCTTGAACTTCGTTTGGAATCATTGGTAAATTTTCGACATTTGAAAATGATATCTCTTCATTGGAACTATTGGTTTCATTTAAAGCTGATGATGCTGCATTATCTGGTAGTGAAGATATTGGTGGGTTATGAAAAACCAAAGGTTTCTTTTCATAGATTCTTCTTGCTAAAATTTTTAATATTAACAAAACAATATTTCTATCATCTTCAGATAATTGATATTTATATGAAATTGAAAATTCGTGGATCCATTTGCACTCGAGTTCGAAATGTCTTGTATCTATTTTACTAAATTGTTTGCAATATTCTGAACAATAATTTACCTCTCTATATAAAAATAAAATTAATTAATATTTATAAATAATTTTTAATATTATTTATATTATTACATACCCACAACTAGGACATGTAATAATATTATGTCTATTTGACTCTAGAAATAATTTAAAACAAGTATTGCAAATATTCTTTTTATATTGGTTATCAACTATTGCAGAGTGTGGTATATCTTTGAATATAATTGTTCCTTTTGGAATAAACTTTTTTGAATATATACATCTTCCTTTATTTGCAATCGTTTTAACTTCAATCCATGGATTGTATTCTATATCTTGAATGTCATATAATGTGAATCTATCACTATTGTCAAAATATTCATATGACATTTAAATAAATAAATAAATTAATAAACACAAATAAATAAATAATTAAATAGATAATAAAAATTATTAAAAGAAAAAAATAATATCTTTTTTTTTTAATTTAAAAAAATTTAAAAAAAATTAAAAAAAAATTTTATTTTAAAATTTTTTTTTTCGTTTGGAATGGAATTAAAATTAATGCTTATAGGCAACCAAAAGATATCTTTTTAAAATCAATTATATTAGTATTATAATAAAAAATAAAAAATAAAAAACTTTATAATTTTTTTAAATAAATAAAAAACTTTAAAAATATTACTTTTATTATAATATTATTTTTAGAAATTTCTTGAACTCAATGAAGAGTTTGCTAAATATTTATCTTCTAATGAATGGGTTACCCAATAGTTCCACAAATCTTGATAGTTGTGGTCATTTAGTAATAAAGGCTTACCTCTTTCTAATTGAGGATCAGGTTCGCCATAAGAATCGAGATAAATGTTGCTGTAAGATGATTTTCTATAGTCACGTAATATATCTACTTTTGGAGACTTGCATTCAATAAAGAGACCAACTTTATAATAACCGCATCTAAGAGTATGTTGGTAAGCTTCACCCAAAATAATACCTTTATCGAGAGCATTGCAGCATTCGCTTTTAATGCAAACTAAGGTACCGCACAATAGGCAAACGGCAGAGGAGTCTGGTTTAGTTTTACAGTTGTAGCATTCTGAATTAGTGTGAGATACAAAGAAATCTTCATAGGTACGTGGTAGCTCTATAAACTCTGGTCTGGTGTATTGAACAGTGAAAAATGGATCCACCTTTTTGCTTTCTAATTGAGTTAACCATGATGATAAATATTGGTTACTAAATGATTGATTAATGAGTTCATCAGTCGAGGGAATGTTCAATTTACTAAAAATCATTTCTCTGTTGATTAAATCTTCTTTGGAGATATAACTTATGCTACCATTATCTAATTTTGATCCATTTAATTTAATTGATGAAGATCCTCCTAATGCCGATGGATAAATAAATTGAACTGCAATAAAAATACATTTTAATAATGGTTCTAATGAAATTTCTAATTTTTCTCTAAATTTATCTTTTAAAAAACCATTACTTGGATTATATGATTGATTGAATAAAATTGAAATTGATTTTTTATTACCTGATTTTTTGTTAATTTCTAAAAATTAAAAAATAAAAAATTAATATTTTTTTAAAAACATTGCCAATTTAATATTATTTAATAATTACCTTTTTCTGTATATAAATTTGTTAAATAAAATTGGGTAATAAATAAATTTAAAATTAAATTTGTAATAATTTCAATATCTTGTTGAGTTGGTGAGCCCAATACTATAGTTAAAACTATGAATAAAGCGAATGGGTCAATTGATAAAATTGATGAGCTTTTTCCTTTAAGAATTTCAACAAGACGTTCTTTAAATTTGGTGTCTATGGCATTGTGAGCTAAAATACTAACTAAATTGAAAAGTGTATGAATTGTAAGCATATCTCTATTGAAAAGGTCATTTGTAATTGGATATAAATTTTCATTTGGGTGACCTTTTTTACTATAAGGTCTTGATGCCAATTCCAAAAGTTCAATATTTTTGGCTACCATTTGGAAATAAACCATGCCTGTAACACCTTCAATTAATGGAATCATTAAATCGTTAACTGCTGTTGAAAAGAATAATTCGCCTCTTGGTTCTATAAATCTTATATCTTTTAATCTTTTTTTTAAGCCATCAATCCAAGCTTCAATTAAACGATTTCCATTTAATGCTGATGATGAACCACCAATATTTGAGAAAGAAGTTGACGAAGAATTATTTAAACTATTATTATTATTGATATTATTATTGTTATTATTTGAAATACCATCACTACTATTACTATTTGTTAAAGTATCATTACCATGTTGTTGGGTTGGGGATTGATATAAATTGTATTTTGAATTTAAATTTGAAAGATCAAAACCTGAAATAATTGGTGAACATGTAACTGATGATTCAGTATAAGTTGGTATAATAATATTTCCAATTCTTCTACATAGTGGACAAAGGAATTCTTTTAATGAGGGCTTGAAATTAGTTTCTTCATTTTCGTGATTTAATACTTTTGGGAAATATTTCTTGTGACACTTTTTGTGAATGTAATGACCACAACTACGAATATGGAATGATGACATAAAGTTTAATGTATTCATATCTCTTTTTTGTGGGAAATTATAAAACATTGAATCCCTTGAAAAAGTATCGTAACGTTTTAACTCAGGAGACTTTTTAGCAACATATGAACTTTTTGCCAAAGCTATCATTCGTGATGGTTGGAGGAAAGATATTAAAGACAATGGATCAAGATCACTTGAATGAGTTTCACGACATAAAACACAATCTTTGCTCTTTAATGTTTCATTAAATAATTCTCTGCTACCATTAATTTGTGGAGTTGAGTTTTTAAACTGTGGTGATAACATATTATTACTTCCTTTGGATGGTGATGGACTACTAGTAGTGGTAGTATTTTTAGTTTGTGGTGATGAAAATGGATTTTGTTTTTTATTTTTGCTGGTACTATGAATTTTATGATCTTCATAGTCGTCTTCATCACTGTCAAAATCCATATCGTTTGCAGATTCTAAAAATTTTGATTGCTGTTGTGCAAATTTGGCCATAATTTCAGCTTGACGTTTTTTAGCATCCATCTTTTTATCAGAGTTTGGATTTGGTGATAATGGACCACTTACACTACTTGAACCAGTATTCTTTGTTAATCTTAACTTTTCTTCTAATGATGGGCACTTTATACAAATTCTATTTAAAATGGATGGATGAATGGATGCTAAAATCTTTAATGACTTTTCAATGTATTCAATTTTATCTTGATGTAAACTATTATTGATTGATTGATTATACATTTCAATTAGATTTGTTAAAATTGATTTATTTCCAAAGGTTGTTTGTAGTATACATTTTATTGAGTCATGATGCTTGACTGCTGGACTGTATGTATCAAATAACTTCCAATCGAGGTCAACATTTGAGTCTAATGGGTCGACGAGTTTTTGAGTTTTCTCTAAAATCAATAATATTAAAAATAATACATCGTTAATACCACAACCAACTTCATTGTTTTCTTCATTTTCATTGAGATAGCTTGTGATGATAGAGTTAAACATATAGAATAAATAATCTGAATGAATTATTTGTGAAAAGTTGAAACGGTCTTTTGGTACAACTTTATCTTTTGAACATTCTATAATTGGTGGGCATGGTAATGATTCTGGAAACTCGATATTATTTTTCTTTTTATATTCTAAAAAAGATTGTAATGATTCTTCACCTAAAATATATGGAGTGAACAATGGATAGTATAAATTAAAATTCTTCCAAAATTCGTTCTTCATTTTATAGTGATATGGACTGTCTGAATTTGAATGAATTTCATCAGAGATCTCCCTGAGAATGTGTTCATAGTTTAATTCCCTCTCTACATAATTCATAACACTATCGATTTGACTGTGGGTTTTTGGTTTTGATGAAAGCAATTGAACTAATGTATATTTTGTATGCTCGTCAGTTGACATAAAGAATAAACGTTCTTGAAGAATTTGAATTACAAACTTTAAGAAATGACCATAACGATGAAAATTACCATTCTCTTCGGTTGTTATCCTGTATGGAATAGTGGCACCAAATTCTTTCGATGAAAAAATTAAAAACTCGTCAATATCAACAATGGAAGCAGATAATTGTAAAATTGATAAATCCAATTCTAAAAAGAATAAAGAGTATACATAGGCCTTTTTCTTGATGGCAACATCACCATTTCTAACCCAGTAATTTGAATTTACTTGCTGACAATATACATTTGCCAATACAAATTGATAAATGAATGCACTAAAATTAAAAGTTTGTGGCACTATATCTCGGAGATCTTCTTTTGGGTAGAGTTGTTTAACACGATTGATAGCGACACCTAAAAAACGATGGTAAGGTAAAGTTGTGGTAACTGATTTTTCACCTCTAAATAAATCTTTCTTTGTTACGGATACACCATTATACTTTGTCATTCCTTCTAGCTCTGGATCTAAAATCAAACGGTCACAAATGAACTGTATCATATCTTTAAGGCCTTCGATAGAATCTTCTTCGGAAAGGGAATCAATTAAAATATATGAAATCTCTTTAAATTCGGTATCGATTTGAAAGAATTGAATCCATTGTGTATCTTCATAAGGAATATGGGTATCTATATATCTCTTTTGATAATCACCATATCTGTCATCACTTGTAGATTGAATAGTTTGTAAAAGTCTAATATAAAGCTCTAAATATTTTCTATTGGTAAACATCATATGGTGAGCAATTGATTTATGTTGTAAAATTGTTTTTAAATCGGAAACGATTGCAATATGATTCTTATCTAGTTTTTTATTATCTGATAAATGAAAGAATAATGATTCGAAAATACAATCTATAAAACCATTTTCCCTATCGATTGAAAACTGTTCACTGACTGAGCATACTGAAAATATTTGTGGTGAAAATCTAAATAATATATCGACTGTATTATTATAACAAAGAGATTTATAAACCTTTAAATAAGATTGAGAAAACCCAAATTTGAATGTATGTTCGCAGAGTAAAAATAAAAATAAATTCATATACTCTTGTTTTATACCTTCATCTGAAATATTTAATAAATTGTATAATGGTGGTCTATAATCATATGAAATTGGGTAACTAAATTTGAATAATCTATCATTAATTGATTTAATTGTTAATTCACTTAATGACCTTGATAATAAATTAACATTTGATGTTAATGTTGTAGTTGTTGTTGTTGTTGTTGTTTTTGATGTTGTATTTGATAAATTATTATTTAAAATGTTTTCAGTTTTTAATAATTGAATTTGATAATCTTGATCAGTAAATAATACAGGTTTTATTATAATTGGTGGAATTGATTTTGGTATTGTTTCTTTTGGTGATATTATAGCAGGGTCTAAAGATTGGTAACATAATTCTTCAGATAAAACATGGGAGACCGAACGACACAAGTGAGCCATTTCTGTAATCCATTTAAGGATTTGAACCGAAACGAATACTGGTCTTTCTAATAATGAACCAAGTGGTTGTTTATTAAGATCTAATACTATAGTTAATAAATGACGAAATACTAGATGAGTTGAAACCAAATGAAGTTTATTCATGTCTTTAGTTGGGATATGATCTTCTTCTGGGTGTTTATGTTGATCACAAAAACCTCCCTCTTTCCATGAATCAATTGATCCACAATCGCAACTACCGCCATATGATGCAAAACTCATGGAATAGTCATGGCCATCCTTTTCATGTGGACCTGCTTTGAAACATTCAAAACAAATTGATGAATTTGGTGATTTTGCACAAGTTTTACATCTATAAAACATTGTTTTAGGTCCCCATACTTAAAATATTAAAAATTATAAATATTTTGTTAATTTAAGAGATTTTTTATTTTATTTTTTTTTTTAAATGTATTTTTACCTTTACTACAACATATTGGTTTTGAAAGTGATTTAAAATATTCTATTGTGCTTTCATAATTTGAAGTGCTTGATGCATAAAATATACATTCAATCTTTGCTAATATTGAATGAATGTTAACTGAACCAGAATATAAATTATTTTTGAGAGTTATAATACTATTATTAATATCCTCTGCTGATATTAGATTTTTATTATCCTCTCTAAACAAATGTTGAATCTCTTCTATCGTTAATATTTTTGAACCAATCGTATTTGAGCCATTATTATTATTATTATTATTATTATTATTATTATTATTACTATTTATATTGTTCAAATTTAAAATATTTTCATTATTATGTTTATTATTACTACTACTTGAATTACCCATTATTAATATCTATAAATAAAAACTATAAACATACATATATATATTTTTTGTTTTGAATTACTATTATTGCTGTTAACTTTATTATTTATTATTTAAAATAAAAAACAAAAAAAAACAAAAACAAATAAAGGGAAAATTTCAATGAAATTGAAAAAAAAATAATTAATAAAATTTATAAAACTATTTTTTTTTTTTTTTTTTTTTTTTGATTATCTATCTTGAAATAAATTTATTTTTTTGAAGATTTATATATATATAAATATTTATGTTATTATTAATACTTTATTATTATTCTTTTATTATTATTATTGTTTTTATTTTATAAATTATTATTTTATTTTAATGGGAATTATTATGTGTGAAAATGTTTTTTAAAAATTTAATTTAAAAAAAAAATTTTAAAAAAAATTAATAAAAAATTAAAAAAAAAAAAAAATACTTAATATTTATACTTTATTTTTTTTTTTTTTATTTTTTGAAATAAATAAAAACAAATTTCTTTTTCTCTTTTTTTTTTTTTTTTTTTTTTTTGTTATTTTTTTTTATTTTATTTTTTTTAATAATATTTTTAATTTCCTAATTTTATTTTTTATTTTTTGTTTTAAGTTCCAAAAATAAAACTGGTAAAGGACGCTTGCAAATAAAAATTTTCAAAATAATTACACCCATAAACTTTAAATCGACAACAATATTGTTTTGGGGGGTGTGTGGTTTCAAAAATAAAATTTTGTTTATATTCGACTTTACAAAACTTTATATATGGTTTTAAAAAAGAAAAAATTAGAAAAAAAAAATAAAAAGAAAAAAAGGCAGATAGTTATTTATTTGATCATAATTATAACAAATAAAATTAAATTTCAAAGATTTAAAAAAAAATCTCTTTTTTTTTTTTTTTAATTTAAAAATTATTTTTTTAATTTTAAATTTTTTGTATTTTTTAAAAAAGAGAAATAATATAGATAAAAACAACAGATCAATAAAATAGATTAATAAAATAGATAAATTATATAGATTAAAAAAATAAATGAATATTTTAAAATATTATTTAAATAACTATATTAATTATTACAATAATAATAATAGTAATAATTATAATAACAATAATATTAATCAAATAAACTTACCATTAATTATTCAAAAAGAAATTTTATTTAAATTATGTCAATATATTAATTATAGTTATGAAATTATTAGTTTGGAATATGATGATTTAGAAATTAAATTATATATAGAAGCCAATAAATTAATTTTCAACTTGGGTCTAGTAAATAAAATATGGCTTGAATATATATCAAATAATGTCAATGTGTGTGTAAATTTCAATGGTGGTATCAAATCTCTTAAACTTTTCTGTAATAGATATTCAATGAGATGA